TAATGTAGCTGTAAAAATAGTTGCCTGCTGAAATTGAAATGTAAACACATCATCATCATGACTAGATAGACACGGTGAGTTTGTCTTTACTATACACATTAGATGTGATCCACCTCATAGTAACAATCCTGTCAGATCGTCCATCCTTTGAGTGAGAGTGTAACGTTACAGGTCGGCCGATCTGGTTTAGTGGTTTGGCAAAAGGAGAGTGGGACGGTGGGCGGTGCTCGGGGTGGTGACTGAAGGCGGTGACTGTGTAGTTCTGACGTCAACTTTTTACGGAAGTCACAACGGTTCGTGAAAAATCACAGCTACTTTATGCAGGCTGTGTGCATTTTACTGTGGACTGACTGTTTTGAAACTTATATGGTAGTTACATAGCACCTAGACCTCAGTTATCATGAAAAAAGCCAGGAAATTTCAGTTTTGACAATATGGGACCTTTAAAGTAAAATTTTCAATTTGACATCGTTAAAAAGTGCCCTTTTTAAGAGTGTACTTAAGTGTGTTAGGAAACAGTCATGAAGGTTTATATAAGTACACTTAAGCATCTGTTTATTTCATTAATATTATCTTATCTGCAAGTAGTTTTTAAAAATCTACTTTTAAGATTTGAAGTACACTACAAGTACACATTTAATACAATAAAGCACAATTCTTTTTGACAAGGGTGGGTCTGTCATGCTCCAAAATATCAAAATATAAAATATCAAGTAGTCAATATGACTCAAAGTAGCCACCTAAATCATCCATTTACTGATCTTTACTCAATGCAACAGTCTTCTCATGTCATTGATTTTTCTACTGCAATAGAAATAGAGAAAACTGCATGACCTCAGTAACCTGTCAAATCAATCAGCGTGGCTTGTTTACACATAATTATCAAAAGTCAAACTCCACCAAATGCTGAATGAGAACACAAACAAACAGGTGCTCGGTGTGCAGTAAATCAGGATTTGTGAACACAACCTGCAAGCACAAAACTCTCTTATCACGCTTGGTATTTGCCATCTTTGTTTTGCACGCTCTTTTGTTTAGAAAGATTAAAGAAGGTGACGGAAGGAAGAAGAAGAGGGAGGGATGGGGATCACTATTGATGTGCAACGACGGTCCTGATAAAACGTTACGGGAGTTGAGCTTTACTATCAGCTCGGCTCTTTCAGCGCTCGAAGACTCAGCTTCCACTAAAGACGTCTGGGAAAGGAATGCAAATCTTTCTCGAATTAGATTCCCAGTCGAGGGAATTGGGGAGGCATGAACCTAAAGAAATGCACAAACACACACATATATCAGATTCCTCAACTCAGTTAATGGATCATGGATGTCACAAGCATAATGTGATTACCATAGATCCGTTTCAGCCTTCAAAAGGCCACTCAGCTCATGGGGTTAACAATAATGCACATCTCAGCCAAATAAATCCTGTTTCCACCCAGTACTTCACCCAGTAAGTTTCAATGAATGAGTCACGCAAGTTGCAGGTGAATCAGCTTTTCACTGAGGTGATGCATTGTAATAATAATAATATTAATAACAAAAAAAAATCACTATAAACTCACATGGTTTTCCAGGAACACTCTGATAGGGAATTTTAAAAGCCGACGTAAAGATTGCCAAGAAACACACAGCCTTTTAATAGCTAATACTGTGAAGAGGAGTTAATGGATAGCCACTGTTTCAATAGACCAAACAGTCTTGTGATACAAAATAATGGCATTGTGTGCAGGGGCGCGGGAAGATGTTTTCGGTTGGGGGTGCTGTGTGT